GTATTTTGTTAATATATATATATATATATATATATAACATTTACAATTTAAATCATGATAAAATGTCAGTCGTTATTGTTAGGAATAATTATTATTTTATTAGTAAAATTAATGTTATTAACATCCTTTTAATAATGTTATTAATTGGTGAGTTACAGTAATGGCAAAAAAATCGAAAATGAAAATTTTTACATATCTTTACGTTTCAAAGGTTTCTGAACATTTTGGCATACCTTAGAAAAAATGCATGTATGTGTGTGTGCGTGTGTATGTGTATGTGCAGATACAAATTTTCGTCGACGATTTCGGAAACACCGTTCAACCGATTTTAATTATTCAAACATTCGATTCCTATTGATAGGGAGATGTGCCGATTAGCTTTTGGCAAAGGCAGGTCTAGTCGTTACGGAGATGCTGAACGAAGAGTGCAGAAAATACAAATCGAGTTTTTGAGAGACTTGAGTATCCGATTTGAATGATTTAAAATTTGTAATGATTAGGAAAAGTGGTGATTAGTTTTTGGCAAAGGCAGGTCTAGCCATTTGAAAGATACAGAGCTGAATGTATAAAAAATGGCAGTTTTTGAGAGAACTAAGCATCCGATTTGAATTATTCAAAGAACTTTTTGCTTGTTTTAACAAAATAATTGCTATTGTAAAAAAAAATTTGTTTCTAATTTTTTTTTCAAAAAAATTTATTTTTTCAAATTTTTTTTTCAAGAAATTTTTTTTTTGTATATCGGAAATAATTCAGATTTTAATTTTAATTCTTTTATAATATACTTTAAACAAATAATTTCAACTTTGCAATTCAGTTTATATAATTTTTATAAATTTTAGACAATGTTACAATATTTATAATAATCCATTTGAAAACATTTAATATTCCTCAATTATTTCGTTACGGTACTGGAAGTTCCAGTAATTTGCCTTAAGACACGATGCCATACACCACTAGTTATTATTTATAATTTGTCAAAAAACCTTATATCCATAACATTACTATTTCACTCGAATTTTTTTTTCAAAATCTGTAAAATCCAAAAATAAAACCCAAACATTTCAAATTATACATCTATATATTTTGCAAATACATTTTCAACATATTACATTATATATAATTTATCTATATATAATTAGTCATTTAGTATATATTTATCTTAATTTACATTTGCAATAATAAATATATTTTAATATTAATAATAAATTCATCAATTTCATTACAACTATATATTTCACAAGCATTTTTGTGCAGAAGTATACTCTCTAAAAATGGATCAGTAAATTATTATTATAAATTTCTTAAATACACAGCCCTGGATTTAAGTACAAAATAATTAAAATATATGAAATAATAAATATTGGAAATAATAGTATTTGTTGATAGTTTTTTAGTGGTGGATTTTCAATTTTACCAAATTATTATCAAACTTTCATCTAAAATTTACCCACATTTTGCCCATACGTCATATTGTAGTTATGATTAAAATTTTTGAAAAATTGTTGGTCAAGATTTTATCTATAATTTATTTTGGATCGGATTTTTGGATTTATGAAAGAGAGGAAAAGAAAATTAGCAATCAGAAATAGAAACTTGAAGAAAAACTGACTATTATTTTGGATCTTGAACAAATGATTAAATCTGAAGTAGGTGTGCCATGTCGCAAAGATAAGACATTTTCCAAAATACTATTCTTGTGGCTGAACTTTATAAAATCTTTCCTACTAGGAAATAAAATATTATGGTGCATATGATGAAAAAAATGTGTGTCAATCAAATTGTTATCGTTGATGTCTATATTAAAAAATTGTTTTATTCCATAAGCACTAATTTATGCTAGAACGAGTTATGTAGTTAATTATCAAAATCACTAAAAACGAAAGTGGATATATAATCTATAATGATTCAATACCTAGAATGGATTCTTATGTGATCTATTTAATATTTCTTATTTTTCACGATCTATTTTTGTTGGAACACAAAAAGTTCATTTACCAAAAAATTAATCTTGAAAGATTCTCTCATAATTTTGGAATACCTTAAAAAAAATCTTGTATCTATATATATAGATCATAGATAAGATTGCAAACACGCCCGCTTTGCAATTACATCAATTTTAATTGTTTCCTCACTCCATAGGGGCGCCACTAACTTTAGCACGTAAATTTACCATTGGTTTCAATTCTGGATAAGATTTATGTAAATATATAATATAAAAACATGATTAATTTGAATAAATGAAATGATACGCGTATAAAATATATTTTTAAATAAATCACAAATAAGTTTTCACAAAAATATATAATAAAAAAAATAAAAAACGTCTATTGTAAACTTGGGCAGAGTAGATCCTCTATTGAGAGCGGAAAACATTAAAACGGGGTAAAGCACACCTGGACCGATTTTGATAGTTCAAAACACAATTATAATTATATTAACATCAGCCTGATTTTTTTTAATTTACCAGTTCAATTTTAGAGAGCAAAAAGTTACATACATTTATTATGAAGAGATCAACAATATTTTAATAAGGCAATTTATAATATATTAAAAATTAATGTATGATAATATTTTTGCATATATATATATGTATATACATATATATATATATATATATATATATATATATATTTCTATTTCATTTATTTTTATTTATTTTATTCCCAACAAAAATGTTTAAATTTCTTTAATTTATAACAAAACTAAGATTTATCATCAGCCTCCGAATTTTTTTCCTATTAAATTTTATCAAATACTGATGATTGTGATAAAGAAATACGAAACGTATGCTATGAACTTTATACAATAATTCTAAAAATATTGGCAAATATAAACAAAAGTTTAAAATTTTCTAAAGTCTCCAATAATATTCTTCAATATTTTAATTTTAAACAGATTTAAAAATCTATCATGATTTTTTTTACAATTTAATCTAAATCAGATATACTGATGATTGTGACAAAGAAATACGAAACGTTTGCAGTAATTTTTTTGCAGTGATTAGAATGGTAAAAATATAATTTTTTATGTTATTCCCCAAAAATAAGATTTTTTCTATGATCAAATTATTTTTTATAATAATTTCCAAAAATATTTTTTATAATAACAAAATTGATAAATTAAAGAATTTTCAAGTTTGGTCTGATATAAAAATTTTGATATCACTCTGATATTATTTAATTAAATAATCACAATTATAAATATATTAAGTATATATATTCAAAATTTTTTCAGCCAAATGGTCGAATTATTTTTCTAAGTTTCGACACTTGCATGTGTGTCACTATTTAGCAATTTCTATAAAATGTATATAAATTTAAATACACAATTTTGGTAATTTATATCTTTTTCTGCTAATCATATAAAAAAAAAGTTGAACTGTCTAAGTGTACAATTTTTTTCAACTTGTTGTATGATGACACATATGCAGTATGGAGACGTATAAAATAAATAATTGGTTGAAAAAATCCTAAAAATATATTTTAATACCGAACAAAAAATAAAATTATGCATAATAATTTTGTTATATTTAGTCTATATTAAATTCAAAAATACTTCTAGTTATACCCTTTTGGCAAAAAATACTATTAGCTTTGCTAATATGAATATTTTATAAATATCTATAAATAATTTTGATTCGTAATTTTTTCTAAAATAGTCAACTTAACTAACGCTATTTTGCAAATAGCTGAATTAATTAAAAGCCCTGTGATAATTTAAATTCTATGAAGTCCTGTTATAAAATTTTATTTTCAATTTTTAAAATCCTAGAACCTATCTAATAATAAGTAGCAATTTATGATATAGTGTGAGGGCTGGACGAAAATTTGTAAGAGTCAATTTTTTGGTAAAACACAAAATTGAGAGAATTTGAATGATGAATAATTTTTCATCCAGCGTGATGATGGATACGTATACTTTGATCTTAATGATATATTGTATCTTTGATCTAAATGTATATTGTATGGCTCTGTATGGATCAGAGACATGGACTCTAAAAAAAACAATAAAAATTACCTGGATATAAAATATGCTGACAAGGAATGATATAAAGTACTACTAAGAGGAAAAAATGGCTTTGCAGGATATGATTGTGTGATTAAAAAAATTGGATAGAGTCCATGTTTGGGGGCGTCCATTAATCACGTAAGGTTTTTAGGGGGAGGGGGGTTTGACAAAAAATCACGAAATATCACGTAATGGAGGGAGGGGTATAGCAAGATATCACGTGCATTTATTTTTTTTTACTATTTTTTATAAAAAAGTTCAAACATTTTTTAAAAAAATTAAAAATTATACAGTTTTTTCACGTAACTAAAAATACACATGATGTTTGGTGGGGGAGGGGGGGTTAATTTTGAATATTACCAAATATCACCAAGGGGAAAGGGGGGGTCTAAAAATCCTTAAAAACTCGCTCACGTAATTAATAGACGCCCCCTTTGGAGAAAAGTGCCTCCTCTGTGACGTCATCAAAAAGGAATAGGAAGGACTGGAAATTCTGGAATGCAGAAGTTGGATGGTAAGCCAATTGAAGTACTGCAAAAAGTTTCCAACTTTAGTGTCTAATGGAAACTTGAAAGACACTCTACTGTCTAAAGTGTAAACTGGAAAGAAACTTTTCTGCCTATTGTGGAAACTAGAAAGAAACTGTACTATCTAAAGAATGACTAAATTGGTAAAAGATGAAGGTCTAAATGAACCAGCAAAAATGTAGATGATCAATGATGAAGTGATCTAGAAATAAGGAAGGTAACATACCATAAAGATGCCTCAAATAAATAATACAAATTCCATACACTTTTTCACGGTGGACTTAATCAATAAACTAAATAGTAGACCAGAGTCTTAAATTAAAAATAAATTTATTATACTTCATTCTTTCCCTCGAAGACTTTCCATTATTCATCCCTTTACTTTCGGTGGTTGACCAGTGGCGTGCTAGGACCAACAGGACCTCCATCTGCTTCAACAGCCTCCGATCCTGAAGGAGCGTACTGTCAGCAACCACTTCGTAAGATGGCGCTGGAAATCTCGTTGGATTCTATCCATTTTGCAACCTGAGAAAAAAAAAGTATAAAAAAAATGAAACAAAACTAGATCCAGAGAGAAAGAGATTCTAAGAAAGGATCTTTACCTCCAATGGCATCGCCGGCTTATATTTTTCATTGATGATGATTGATCCGTTGCTTTGGGCCAAACTTTTGTTATCTAAAGAAACTAGGCCAGCTTCCAAATCAGTGCTGCTCAAGTTGACGCTTTTTTCGACAGTGATACTGCCCTGCTTGGTAGTTCTTAAAAAAAAAACAAAATTTTCATCAATCTTATACGTAATAGTTAAATATTTCTATACTTATTCAAAGAGTCATTTAATCATAAGAATTAAAATTTAAGTTTTTTTTTTAAATTCTGGCAATTGCCTATATATTCTATATATATAAAAATAAGTCAAGTTTTCCTTCCTGACGAAATAACTCCAGAACGCACGAACCGATTTCGACAATTTTGCATTCGTTGGAAAGGTCTCGGGCTCCGCAAGGTTTATAGTTAAGAAAATTAGTGGTGCATGGCATCGTGCTCTAATGGAAATTGCTGGAACTTCACGCACCGTAATTAAAAATTCGAGTAATTACATTAGTGAGAATTATCAGAATTATGCTTGGTTAAGTCAACGAGCAATTCTTGCCGCAAAGAATAATGATGTACACGCACTGAATTTCACCATTCAATCAAAAATTGCTGGCGATTTGGTGACATACCAATGATTCCGACTGGTCTTCCGTTTGACTTCAAACGATTGCAATTTCCAGTTCGCCTTGCGTTCGCAATAACAAGTCGCAAGGCCAATCGCTTAGTGTTTGCGGGATAAATTTTAAATAGATTATTTAGAAAATCATTGTTTTTCACATGGGCAGTTATACGTTGCCTGTTCACGAGTTGGAAAACCATCTGCTTTCTATGTGTTAACGTCAGACCAAAAAACAAAAAATGTGGTTTACCAAAGAGCACTTCAATAAAACGGATAATTTGCGGATTCACTTTCATTTACTTAGAGAAGTTCAACTAAGAACACTTCATTTTTGTAATCGAAATAAATTCATTACTGTTGTATAATAAAATCACATTTTTCCTTTTCAAATATAAAACAAACAAAAAATTTCTTCATCTTTCTCACGAAACCATCAGGTGGCGAAACGGAATTCGTCGTGTTTGCTATAGTTAGTATATAAATATTTCTTACTCATTATTGGGTATTTTTGGAGCCGGTGCCAAAGGATTCTCCAAAAGTCGTCCTATGGCATCACGAGCATCACAAGATATCAGCCTTTGTCTGCAAATGGCAATTGCCAAAATAAACTGATCAGAACAACTGATGAAACGGTGTTCCATGAAAATGCTTTTGTCGTCCCAGTAGACAATCTGGAAAAAAATAGATCAAATAGATACCTTTTTAATAATCTAAATAGAAATTGATTTATTAGTTGATAGAGCAACTTCTGATTGAATTGTTACATAAAAGATAGACTGATAGAGAAACTGATGATTACTGGATCTAAATAACCTGATATACAAAAGGCATTTTTAGGGAGTAATTTTTAGATCTGTGTTAGTTGATTTATATTTTTTTTTATTATTTGCCTTAGATGTAATCCTGTATTTAGAGAAAGGCCTGATGAATCTCCTATAACGTATAGTACTTGCTCCTTGGACCACAGCTCCTCCATTCTGGATTATGGAACGATATAATCCAGTTCTTTCGTAAAAGTCCACTCTTGCAAAATCAATTTCCTGGAAGTAATAGATAATGGATAGATTAAATAGATAATTATAAAGTAGAATTATTATTTCGAATTAGATTGAATCGGATTTTGGATCTCTATCTACTTGGGATTTGAGGGAATATATTTGATTTAATAGTCAATGTCTATTTTGGAACCAAAGGGTGGAAATGGAAACATTTGGAAAATTTTAAGTCAAAATATTAATATCACCATGTCTAACATTTTAGAGAAATTAAAAGTCATATTGTTTTTCTTCTCAATTTTTCTAATTTCTTAGTGGTGAATCTTGTTCTGTTAATAATTTTATAAATTGTTAACATTCGTTTGTATCTCTATCTATTTAGAATGTGACAGGATCTATTTGATTTAATAGTCAATGTCCATTTTAGAACCAAAAATTTGAAACAGATTTAATAAAAAATAGTTAAAATTATAATAATAATTTGTGTATAAATATTGCATTATTTTATTAAATAATAAATTAGGGTTTGTACCATTTTCTAAGTTTGTTGACAAAAATATTGTTCTAGTACAGCCAAAAGCTTTGAATAAATATCCCAAAAATATTTCAATTATTATATGAGCTATATTTCAATTTAGGAAAAGTTAATAATACATTCCTGTTTTTTTTTTTCGAAAAACTGTAGTATATAGTTTTCAACTGACAAAATTGACTAATTTTAAATTAAAAATTACGTTTTATTATTTCTTCAATGAAGAAGCAATGCAGTAAAATTACAATACTGCATTATAAATAATTTTCCTCAGCTTTGTTAAAAAAAATAACTAGTTTGAATTCAAATCGATACAATTCTTGTTATTTATCAATAATATTCTATGCATTTTCGATTTGTCAGAAAACAATTTCATTAAATATTTTTTATTGTTCTGAATGTTTGAAGCTAATGGTTTTGTCCAGAAACTGTTTTTCAAATATTTTTAAAATACTCGACAAAAAAAGAAATTAATTTGTTTATTTGAGGCTCATGACAAGTATTTTTATACGGCATGTATTTGCACAATAAATAATTTAATATTTAAATAAACATTAGACACATGTCTCTTTAATATTTGCTTAAACAATTCGCGGAAAAAGTCTTAAATTTCTTCTGAAGAACGTAGAAGCTCATAAACACACAAAATTTTGCAAAATTAATTTCATTAATTAATTAATTAATTATTAATTAATTTATTTATTAAACATTATATTTCTCAAAGGGCAAATATGTAGTATTATTTAATTTTATTTATTTTCGCACTTTTTTGACAGTAGTATGATTCGATACAAAAGTATTGAACCAATTTTGAAAATTTAAAAACCGTTTAAATTTTAACTCATGCTGATTAGTTTTTGCTAAAGATTGGTTGGGCCATTTTGAAATTAATTATTAAACATTTTCTTAGCCACAGAGTTTATATAACAAATATTATAGTCTTAATGGATATTTCAAAACATTTGTAGTCCTATAGTTGAGCCATAAAATTTCATTAAAGATTAGAATAATGATCAGAGCGTTTAGGGCATATAATGTACTAAAATTAATGAAATTGCATATATTAAATGTTAAAAAATATCAATTGGAAATCGCATTAATTGGTTTTATAAATAAAGTGTAAAATTGCGAAAAAACGTGAGAGAATTATCTATGCAAGAGACGGAAACTGGAAGAAACTTATTTAATCTTCTCTGAAGAGAGGATATTGATATCCAGCAAATAAACAAAAAAAAACGGGTAACGTGAGCTGATTATTTTTTACGTTAAAATTTTTATAAATTTGTATCATCTTCAGAAAAAATTGCTATTTGCAGAAAAATATTGCAAGGGAAAAATATATAGAAAATGTTCTAAGTCTAAGTTTAACTAAGTTTTTTTTGAATAATATTCTGAAAATTTAAACCACTGTGATATATTTAACAATATTTTATTAAAAAAATTAGTTCATGGTGATATATCAATCTGCTAAATTATTTTTCCGCTTGTTAAATTCAATAATAGTACACCGAATAATATATAATTAAATTCTTTCGTGACAGTTTGAGAGCAAAGTAATTGAAAGAAATAATAAATATAATTTATATATTTATTTAATTCATAATTTAAAGAATAGAAATTTAATATCGTAGAAATAAAATATAGTTACGAATTAGCCTTTAATAAAACTCAATTTTTTAAAATTATTTCACTTATTTGGTTCTTAATTAAAAATAGATTTTGGGAATTTTATCGGTATATTATATATTAAATAATAATTGTAAAATTCATAAATCGATAAAAATTGTATATGTGAAATATTAAAATTGCATAATATGATATAAAATATATGAAATTTTCAAATTGAATATTTGATATAAAAATTGCATATATTTAAAATGATCTATGAAATAATTGATTTAATTAAGTGTTCTAGAATTTTATATTCTAATTTGCCAAATAATTTCAAATCGTGTACAACATTATATAGTTTTCTATATTTTCTTATATTAAATTGATTGTTCTTGGAATATATTAAATTTGTATTCAAAATTCAATATAATAATATTTCATTACGAATGAAACATATTAAAATTAAATTATTTTTAAATATATAATACATTTACTATTTAATGTTGAAAACTAATATGGCCACATAGAATTTGATTAAAATATTAAGATTATATTTATATATTATATTCATTATTCAATTGCATTTACTACATTTTATTATTTGTATTTTTCAATACTAAACAATAAAAAATAAATTTTAACGCAAAATAATCGACAGTAAAATTGTTTTATCAAAAAATTAAAATGCATATTTTACTTAAAAAATCAAATAAAGAAAATAGATTTTAAAAAATAGTACTTATTATAAACAGAAAAAGATCTAATTTTGACTTTATTATAAATTTTATTATGAAAAAAAACAGATTATTTTTAAATGTATACTATTTAATGTTGAAAATTAATAGGGCCACATATAGTTTTATTTACTGCGTATTATTGTACTTATTTTTTAATAGTGGACTGTTTAATTAAAATGATGCAAAATAATCGATAAGTAAATTTTTTTAATATATAAAATGTGCAATATAAAATATATTATATTGCACATTATTCTTAAAAAATCAAATGATAAAAATAGTTCTAAATTGAAATAGTACTTTTTACAAAAACAGTAAAATCTAATTTTGTCTTCGGTTCGGAATAACATAATTATAAATTATGAAAAATATAAACAAACTAGTGAGCCAAATAACTGCTTGGAAATTAATTTTTACTGAAAAATTAATTTTTAATCTGGGATGAGAACACACTTAATTTTTCTTTCAAGCTAAAAGTGATCCCTAGTTGAAAATGTAAATAGGTATTCTATATATTTTAATTATTATAATTTAATAATAGGTTTTATTTAACACTATTTATTTTTCTTTGATTTTTCTCACAAGTAATAAATTTCATAAGAAATTAATAATATCAATACAAATAATATATATATATGAAAAAATATTATATAATATTGATATATTAATTATTCTAAATGTTATTAACAATATTTTACCCAAAACTATATATATACATATATTTATAAATTATAAAATATAAAATTTATAAACATACCTGACTCTGCAAAAAGAGCAACAATTATTCCTCTTGTATTGTTTTTTCAATTAAATCAAACACAACACATACCAAAAGTTTTAAATCTCGACTAAATTAATTTATAATTTCTAATAACTAAAACCACTGTATATTAATATTATATAAAATTATTTAATACACTAAAATTGTAAATTTATCTTTAAAATCTAGAATTTATCTCACTATACATTTATTTTATTTCATTTAATTTTTTTACATTTAATTTTACCATGACGACGCGCGCGGTTCGAAATTCGAACATAAACTGTTTTTGATAAAGTTTTCGATGTACCTGATAGGGAACGGTATGCCATAGAGCACCTGGGAGGGGATAGCCTAGTCTAGGTATATGCCTGAATTGGAACAGAAATTAGCCTGATGAACAGGCAAATGAAACTACTACAAGGTGTAAAGAAATGCCTGAAATCCAGGTTTGTTTTAAAATAAGGTTATAGGCCAGGGCTTCCTAAACTTTTGTTCTTTGCGACACCATTTACGATTGCAAATTTCTTGGCGACCCCATTTATGATTGCATGTTTCTTGAAGAACCTTTAAATGATTTATTTAATTGGTAACAAAATACATATACATATGAATATAAGTACGTATGTATGTACGCAAGCGTTCTGTGTATATACGTGTATATAATAGTAATAAGTAAAAATATATAGATGTCTTAATGTAAGTCTGTTACATAAAATATAGATTTATTTTTGTTATAATTGCTGTGATCTCTCATACCAGAACAATTGTCTGACTGAGATACAGTATGTACGAATTATATCAAATAAATAAATAAATAAATAAATAAATAAATAAATAAATAATGACAATATATAGTTTAAGAATTTGTTGAGAACATAAATTAATCAAGATGTCATGTTAAAAAAAAAATGCGCGTAAGGTTCACACGCAATTGAAGTAAAACTTATTTGCTATTGTACAAGATGGCAGTTAAGTTAAAAATAAATACGTCATATAACAATTTTGATCATTAGTAATAAAGTAACACTCACGATGCACCCATTTATTAGTGTCGACCATTATACACATTTATATAATGATAAATTATAAATTATATATTTATAAAAGCATTAAAAATATGTATAATATTTAAAAACAATAATTAATTAAAGTCATACTTCAAATATGACATGATCGGTTTGTCATTGTAATAAGCATTTAGAAATTAACCTTCATTAGAGAAATGAAGTAATTGCTGATAAATAAATTCTATAATATTCGTTCACACAGTGGATAATGTTAAACAACGCCTAAACAAATATCGTTTTTGCAATTTCACTCATCATGTAATTGTGTTTGAAAAACTTCATGTAATTAAAATTAACAATACATTCATTGACTGATGGTATTTTTTTACTTTTTCGCTGGCGATATCATCTCATTCTTTGAACATTTTCATCAAATTTTTATCTAAAAATTTGTTCATAAATTGTTTTTTTTAATAATAGTTAGAACTAAACACTAAATATTTCTAACAATAATTTCATGGAGTACAATTTTGATTTGATGAGCCGCACTTATTCTAATAAGCATTTTATTAGGTTAACTTATGTTATTTATAAATTTAGATTTTTTTGTTCGACGTTGAGACATACTTGAATGTTGATTTTCAGACAATCGTCGAAATAAAAGAAAACAATTAGTAAAATATTTATTTATACGTTTCGACACAGATTGCGTGTCATCATTCAGCAACTCTTCTTGAAATTTTGGTTATAAAGTATCTAAAAGAATTTTAACAAAGTTTTAAAAAAATTAAATTTTAAATTTAAAATATATTATAGATTAAAAGATAAAATGACGAGTAAAAAAATGATACATACCACACCGGGAAAAAATTAATAAATTAATTATATATTTATTATAAATATATATTTATAAATATATATTATTTATATATTTATACATATTTTTATTATTGAAAAATTAATCTATTTTTGTTCTATCGGCAATAGTAAATTTTATTATTTTTTTAAGCAATTTGATAATCATGTGACTAATAACATAATTTTATTATATATCATTTATATTATCATTTTATTATATTTAAAGTTTTGATTGTTTAATTGAAAAATGTCTTTAAATTTGCCGGTAGTGTTACCTCCTGGTTTGAATTTGTTAACGTACTGAATGATGACACGCATACAGTGTCGAAACGTACATGATAAATTGTTACATTATTTATTGCTTTTTATTTGATAATTTGGGTGCAAAAAATCTAAAATTTACATCTTATATATAAATTTCTTTTGTACGGATGTATAATTTGATACTTCTTCTAAACGGTTATTCGGATTTTGATAAATCTTTCTACAGTTTGTTAAAGGAAATTTTTAAGATTTAATAAATGATAAAACTCTAGTAATATTGTAGAAATAAATGGCAAAAATTACAAACATTTACTTATCATTGTTTGACATTGAAAACATTTGAACTGACATCTGCTAGAAATGCCAATTCACTTGAAATTTGAATTTAGCTGAAATTATGAGCCTAGATAATATTAGATTATAATATATGTACAAGAAAGATGTGATGTCTACATTATTATTGCCGAAAAGCAGATGAGATGTGCCGGAAATTAAAATAATATAAGATATAGACAACAGTTTATGTTTGGTAGATCAATTCATCAATATTTATCTCAGCAACTAATCGTATCCCAATACAACTCCATCTCCAACAGATGTCACCTCCAATTTCTATCTCACCTTCCAAATTTCATTTCCTTTAACCTGTTCGATTGAGTAATCCGAATTTCATTATCATTCGACAGCCCGGAGCGAAAACACCTTAATACGGTTTTAATAATTACTTAAATTTTACGATTCAAGTTTTCGGAGTTGTCGTCTCGTCGTTATATAATATTCGGTGCAATCTTGAATATTTCCATCACCCACTGACCGAAATAAATGTTTGCCGAACGAAAGTGATTTGTTTACAATTTTTAAAAGGTGATTTTAAAAGTAAGTCTGTTACTGACATGGATCGAGGAATTTAATTTGCACAATATGAGACACGATTTCCTGATTTGGTAAATGGTAAATGGGTGAATGATATTGGGTTAGTATTTTATATGTGGCGATTGTAAAGCAACTTGAATGATTTTTATAGACTTTATTCGTATGGAATATGCTGTGTATAAATAAATACAAAATAAATTAATTTTCAAGCCTTAAATCCACTAGTCATCTTTTATCTCGGTGTATAAGTTATCCATGCACCACCAACCAGTCTCGGCATGAAGCTTCTAGGGTCCAATTTAGGGTCTGCATCTTTTCCTTCAGAAATTTTCAATTTGAAAAATCTCACGACTGCCATTACACTCGTCTTGATTTGCAAGAAGGCAAATCTTTGACCTAGGCAAAGCCTGAAAAAATAATAAACAAAATATAATAGAATGAGGGCCATTGATGATTTGCAAAGCTTGGATTGAGTTTTTTAACACTTTTAAAATCACAGAAGAAAATTTTGATGGAAACTACTTTTTTCAGATGTTTTCTTTGATGACTACTTAATTCCATAATGATAAAAAGTTTTTTGATCTAAAGCAGGTGGTAAACTTTAATGAAAACTGCTCTTATTTAGAAGTTTTCCATGAGTTTGCCCATTCTTTGATGATAATACAAGCTTTGACCTAAAGCAGGTTGTAAATTTAAATGGAAACTACTTCTTGTGATCTATGATGACAATTTTTATCCAATTTTTCTCCAATTCTCTCAATTCGTCATTATGAGCCCAATACATTTTCCTTTCTTCTGAATTTTATGATCAACAAATAATCTTTAGTTTTAATCTGTGACCACTATTTTTAACCTGCACATATTTTGCATATAATTTATATACCAAAATCAATTACTTATTTACCTTGGTCCTGCCCCCCATGGGAAAAAAGCATCTTTCGTAAAAGTCTCTGTAGAACCTTCAAAAAATCTTGATGGATCAAATTTATCTGGATTGGAGAAGTACTGCGGATCTCTAAGAAACACCCATAAATTGATTATAATAATTGATACATATGATGATTTGTTTTAATTATTTATACTTGTGGAATGATCCAATAGCTACATGTACAGAGTCTCCTCTTTTTATTCCGATTGCCCTTTTGGGGCCTCCTTCAAATGGAGGCAATTCGTAGTCTTTGGTGCAGGTTCTTGGAAAGGCTGCTACTATTGGCCATTTGCGTAATGTTTCTAAAATAATAATAGTAGTAACAGAAATAATAATATTATTGGTAATGGAACGCCTTGTTTGTTGAGATATCGTGCAACTTTTTTCTGATGTTTTTACATATCTAGTTCTTCTGACTATAAAATTTTATTGACTTTTGGTGAACGCTAGACGAACTGTTCTGGAGTTGCGACAAAAACAAAAGTTTGGAACCAAAATTTAGATCCAATCTATTATTTTACCCAAGTTTCTAAGTACCAGTTATTTGTTTTAATACACAATACCACACACCACCAGTTACTAGATATCCTTTATCTATCTAATTATTTAGAATATTATTTTTTTATTACCATTAATAACAGCATCCAAATATGTCATCTCAATCATTGCATCATAAGTGACTTTGTTTTCGTGACCTTTCAGCACTTCTTCAATTTCCTTCACCATTCTCTCTTGGACATCTGGATTCTTGGCAATCTAAATATAAAAATTGAGTAATTATCATTTTTAACAATTGACCAGTATCTTCAATACTAATTTTTTTACCTCGTATAAAGCTAAACATATAACTGATCCTGAAGTTTCAAATCCATCCAGAAGAAAGCTGGTACATTGTGCTGCTATATCTTCCATGGTAAATTCTAAAATTTTGAGACACATGAAAATTTCTGTAATTTTTTTAAATAGTATATTTTAATTTACTCTGTCCATCTGTCTGATCGTGCAATTGCATAAGATTTTGCAGAAAATCATCTCTTTTGATTTTGTTATCCTTTCGATATTGGACTGTGTCCTGGACCATTTTTATTATCCAATCTGTTACTAATTCAGGAACAAATCTGAAAGAATAGACAATAATTTGAATGAAAAATGAGGAATGTTACTGAACATTATGAATGACAGGTTGTGAAAATTTTACTGTGGTAATTGAAACAAGAAATATTTCAAAGCTGTTACACAGGGTCAGGATTAGATGGCTTTTCCTGCTTACCTTATGTTTATAAATTTAGATAAAATTGGAACTGCTGTAACTAATGTTATATTGATAGATGTCCAAGTTGTGGGTTCGAAGATTTTTTTGCCCATTTCCCTGAAAATTGAATCTTCCCTAAAATTGTTCAAACAATTTGCCTCCAATCCAAAAGCACATGATGCTATGACTTCGGTTGTGTATTTGTTACTTAACTAAAAACAGAAAAAAAATATTTTGCATCTTTGGCACTTTTGAACAGCTGATCTATACTTTGGTCTATAATTTAACGTAAAAAGCAAAATGAAAAATCAATTATTACCTCTCTTGTTTCCAATCCAGTAGTTGATGATCCTTCTGCATTTCTGATATGTTTGACCAGATCTTCACATGTTTTATACAGCAATGGAAAAACCAATCGAATCTGAAAAGAAATTTGTGGTGAATGGAATCGTGCCTTAAGGCAAATTGCTGGAACTTTCCGTACCGTAATGAAATATTTGAGGAATATTAAATGTTTTCAAATATATTATTACAAATGCTGTAGCTATCATTATTTTTGCTATCTTATTATATCTGAGCAAATCAAATGTAAATCATAAATCAATTTATCTCCAGAACATTAACAATCGTCATTTAATTTCGAATTCAATTTAAAAAAAAATAGTTGCCTAATAATTAATTTCCACAAAATTGAAAAAGTGCTCCCGTGTAGTCACAGTCTAATTTGCATTTGCAAATAATTCTGTGCGGCATTTTCACTTATACTGTGCTTAGCTTGGCGGCATTTTCACATTTTTCAATGAAAAATCATTTCAGTGAAAACTCACAAAATTGGAAAAGTTCTCCAGTACGTAAACAGTCTAAACGCACTTGGGTAAACATTTGTACCAGATTGGCGCTTAGACTGTGTGCTTACTGGGTAATTTTTTGAATTTTTAATCCAAAATTACAAAAATATTTTTTGGAAAATAAGAAAAAATGTAATAATTTTTTATCTTCAAAAGCAATTGTTTTGTCAATACAAGCAGAAAGTTTTTTAGATCATTCAAATCCGATACTCCGTTCTCTCAAAAACTCGATTTGTATTTTCCGCACTCTTTGCTCCGTATCTCCGTAACAGCTAGACCTGCCTTTGCCAAAAACTAATCAGCACATCTCCCTATCAATAGGGATCAAATGTTTTTTAAATCATTCAAATCGGTTGATCCGTGCGCCCGGAAACGTGGACGAAAAAATGCGGACATACAAAACACACACATACATCCATTTTTTCTGAGGTATGCCAAAATGTTCAGAAACCTTCAAAACGTCGAGAAATGCGAGAAAAATTATTTCCGATTTTCGGCCCATTACTATGACTACCCTACGAGAAGTTAATAAATACCAGTAGTACAACCTTAAGCTAGTTCCAATAAAAATTCTAACGTTTTGCTAGTTTTGGTCAAAAATGCCTTATGGATCAAGATTTTTGAAAAAATGTGGTTAAGATATGAAAATAATCTCAAGAACAAAGAGGTTTTGAAACCAAAGTTCTCATATTTTGAGGTTATTTCATTCACCAACCTTTCCGGAAGACAGCATGGGCGCAACCTTCTCTCTATACTCTCTCCATTTTTCTCCTTTCATCATAAAAATATTCTTCTTCAGAAGAATATCATCATCAGTACAATGCAAATCAGTATCCTTAAAATAGTTAAAATCCTTCACCAGAATCTGCCTCGCCAGTTGCAGATCTCTGATGACGAAAACTGGTGTGCAGAACCGGTAGAAACCAAAATAGGGAAAATCAGGAAACTTCCTAGAAAAATCAGTAAATAAAATAAATTTTGAATCTATTTATTATTTGAGTGTGTCCTTTATCTTACTGATAAATTTCGTGCATAACGTCAATGATGTGTCTCTTCTGCAAAATGCAATCTAGCATGTTGCCCACCAAGGGCAATCCCTTTTCGTGGGGAACACGTCTCCAACGAAATTGTCCAAATGTGTATTTGTAGTGGACGTAGACCAGAGTCATCAGGATCATTACTAGCGAAAGTATGATCATCTGAAATTAAAAAAAAAATAAAATTTAAAAATAAATTTAAAACTGGATCAGAAATTTAGGATTAGAAAACAACTTCTAAATGTGTTTTGTAAGTTACTATACAATTTAGTTATCGATTACATTTATTATTATAAATAGTGGATAGCGCGCACTTACCTTGAATTGTTATATTTATATTATTAATACACTTTTTTTTATTAATTTCTAATAGGTATTTTTATAAAAATATCGAGAAAGTGTTTCTAGCATTTTCATATACGTACTACTGTGAAATCAAAGGACGAACTATTTACAGAATTGAAATCGGTACCACTTATTATTTTAAATTGGAGTTAATCAAATCATTTAAATGCAGAGTCGAACTGGAAAAGAAATAATAAAATTTAAATACATTATGCATTATGAATCTAATTTTTAATGAAATTATATTTTTTTACATAAATAATTTAGAAATTTACAGTAATTTATTCAAGTAATTAAAAAATTGATAATTAATTTTTTCAATGTCATTTTTTGTTTGTTTTTTATTAATCTTTCGTAGGGTAAGTTATAGTAATGGGCCAAAAATCGAAAATGAAATTTTTTACATATCTTCACGTTTTAGAAGTTTCTGAACATTTTGGCATTCCTTAGAAAAAATGGATGTGTGTGTGTGTAAGAGTGTATGTATGTGTGTGTGCGGATGCAAATTTTCGTCGACGATTTCGGGAACACTGTTCAATCGATTTCAATGATTCAAACAACATTTGATTCCTATTGATAAGGAGACGAGCTGATTAGTTTTTGACGAAAACAGGTCTAATCGTTTGGGAGATACGGGGCAAAAAGTGCCAAAAACGGTAACTCAGTTTTCAAGAGAACGCAGCTTCCAATTTTAATAATTCAAAAAACATTTTACTTGTATTGACAAGATGAAAAACTGGAAAGGCAGGTCTAGCGGTTTCGGAGATCTAGTAAAAAAAATTTTAAAAAATTATTAAGATTTTAATAATACGTATACATTTTGTTTACATTTCTATGGGTTCCGTAACATCGTTTGTCCGTACTATGGCGACGCGGCGCTTACGCGCTTCGATATTTGAAAATCTTGCGATGCTTTGAAAAAAAATTTGAAAATTTCCAAAATATTTTAAAATAAAAAAAACATTTATTTCAAAAAAGTCGATTTTTGTCAAAAATTTAAAATTTCTCAAAAATCTAATATTTTCAAAGTTTAAAAAAAAAATATTTTTTTGGCACGGGAAGCTCCAGCAATTTGTCTTAAGGCACGATGCCATATACCACTAGTTTCTATTAATAATTTGTCAAAAAACCTTATATCCATAACATTTCTATTCTACCCGAGAATTTTATTCAAAATCTGTAAAATCCAAAAATAAAACCCAAACTTTTCAAATTATACATCTATATATTTTGCAAATACATTTTCAACATATTACATTATATATAATTTATCGATATATAATTAGTCATTTAATATATATTTATCTTAACTTACATTTGCAATAATAAATATATTTCAATATTAATAATAAATTCATCAATTTCATTACAACTATATATTTCACAAGCATTTTTGTGCAGAAGTATACTCTCTAAAAATGGATCAGTAAATTATTGATATAAATTTTTTAAATACACAGCCCTGGATTTAAGTACAAAATAATAAAAATACATAAACTAATAAATAATGGAAATAATAATATTTGTTGATAAAGTTTTTTAGTGATGGATTTTCAATTTTATAAGTGGTTATAGAACTTTCATCTAAGTTTACCCATATTTTGCCCATATGTCATATTGTAGTTATGATTAGAATTTTTGAAAAATTGTTGGTCAAGATTTTATCTATAATTTGTTTTGGATCGGATTTTTGGATTTATGAAAGAGAGGAGAAGAAACTTAGCAATCTGAAATAGAAACTTGTAGAAAAACTGTCTATTATTTTGGATCTTGAACAAATGATTAAATCTAAAGTAGGTGTGCCATGTCGCAAAATAAGACATTTCCCAAAATACTATTCTTGTGGCTGAACTTTATAAAATCTTTCCTACTAGGAAATAAAATATTATGGTGCAAATGATGAAAAAAAATGTGTCAATCAATTTGTTGTTGTTGGTGTCTATATTAAAAAATTGTTTTATTCCATAAGCACTAATTTATTCTAGAACGAGTTATGTCGTTAATTATCAAAATCGCTAAAAACGAAAGTGGATATATAATCTGTAATGATTCAATACCTAGAATGGATTCTTATGTGATCTATTTAATATTTCTTATTTTCCACGATTTTTTTTGTTGGAACATAAGGACTACAAAAAGTTCATTTGTCAAAAAATCCATCTTGAAGGATTCTCTCATAATAATAAATGGAATACCTTAAAAAAATTTCTTCTGTTTATATATAGATCATAGATAAGATTGCAAACACGTCCAATTTTCCATTACATAAATTTTAATTATTTTTCCTCTCGATAGAGGCGCCACTAACTTTAGCACGTAAATTTACTCCTGGGTTTAATTCTAGATAAAATTTATATGAATATATAATATAGAAAAAGTAAACCTCATTAATTTGAATAAATGAAATGATACGCGTATAAAATATATTTTCAACTACATCACAAATATGTTTTCACAAAAATAATTAATAAAAAAATATATTACACGTTATTATAATAAGAAAATCAGTTGCTTAAAATTTCGGGACAGTAGACCCTCTGTTAAGTGGGGAAAACATTAAAACAGGGTAAAGCACTTTTGTACTCTGTTCTCATTTTAAGAGTACGCCTGGACCGATTTTACCAGTTCAAAACACAATTATAATTATATTAACATCATCCTGATTTTTTTGTAATTTACCAGTTCAATTTTAGAGAGCAAAGAGTTACATACATTTATTATGAAGAGATCAACAATATTTTAATAAGGCAATTTATAATATATTAAAAATTAATGTATGATAATATTTTTGCATATATATATACATATATATATATATATATATATATATTTCTATTTCATTTATTTTTATTTATTTTATTCCCAACAAAAATGTTTAAATTTCTTTAATTTATAACAAAACTAATATTTATCATCAGCCTCCGAATTTTTTTCCTATTTAATTTTATCAAATACTGATGATTGTGATAAAGAAATACGAAACGTATGCTATGAACTTTATACAATAATTCTAAAAATATTGGCAAATATAAACAAAAGTTCAAAATTTTCTAAAGTCTCCAATAATATACTTCAATATTTTAATTTTAAACACACTTAAAAATCTATCATGATTTTTTTTACAATTCAATCTAAATCAGATATACTGATGATTGTGACAAAGAAATACGAAACGTTTGCAGTAATTCTTTTGCAGTGATTAGAATGGTAAAAATATAATTTTTTATGTTATTCCCCAAAAATAAGATTTTTTCTATGATCAAATTATTTCTTATAATAATTTCCAAAAATATTTTTTATAATAACAAAATTGATAAATTAAAGAATTTTCAAGTTTGGTCTGATATAAAAATTTTGATATCACTCTGATATTATTTAAAAAAATAATCACAATTATTATATAAATATATTAAGTATATATATTCAAAAAAATTTCAACCAAATGGTCGTATTATTTTTGTACGTTTCGACACCTGCATGGTTGTCATCATTCAGCAAGTTCTATAAAATGTATATAAATTTAAAAACACAATTTTAGTAATTTATATATTTTCACAAATTATTTAAAAAAAATTGTTTGTGATCTGTTAAGTTGTACAATTTTTTTAACTTGTTGAATGATGACACATTTGCAGTATCGAAACGTACAAAACAAATAATTGAAGTTTTATCGTTTGGTTGAGAAAATCCTGAAAATATATTCAACGTCGAACAAAAATCTGACTTATGCATATATAATTTTGTTATGTAATTAATATATTTTCTATATTATATATCAAATTCAAAAATACTTCTAGTTATACCCTTTTGGCAAAAAATACTATTAGCTTTGCTAATATGAATATTTCATAATATCTATAAATATTATAAATAATTTCGATTTGTAAATTTTTCTCATTTTTTCTAAAATAGCCAACTTAACTAACGCTATTTTGCAAATAGCTGAATTAATTAAAAGCCCTGTGATAATTTAAATTTTATAAAGTCCTTTTATAAAATTTTATTTTCAATTTTTAAAATCCTAGAACCTATCTAACAATAAGTAGCAGTTTATGATATAGTGTGAGAGCCAGACGAAAATTTGTAAGAGTCGATTTTGGTAAAACACAAAATTGATAGAATTTTAATGACGAATAATTTTCCATCCAGCGTGATGGTGAATACGTATACTTTGATCTAAATGATATATTGTAACTTTGATCTAAATGTATTCTAAGAAAATCCAACAGAAATTACCTGGATATAAAATAGACTGAAAAGGAATGATTTAAAGTGATACCAAGAGTAGAAGAAGAAATGGCTTTGCAGGATATGATTGTGTGATTAAAAAATTTGGATTGAATCCATATTTGGAGAAAAATGTTTTCTGTGACGTCATCAAAAGAGAAAAGAAAGGACTAGAAATTCTTGAACTTAAATGTGAGATGGCAGCAAATTGAAGAAGTACTGCAAAATGTTTCCAACTTTAATGTCTAATGAAAACTTGAAAGGCTGCTGTCCGAAGGAAACTGGAGAAAGACTCTACTGTCTAAAGAAAACTGGGAAGAAACTCTACTGTCTAAAAAAATACTGGAAAAAAACTTTTTTGTCTAAAGTGAAAACTGTAAAGAAACTGTCCTGTTTAAAGGCCAATTAAATTGGTGAAAAAAGATGAAGGTCTAAATGGACAAGAAAAAATTTTGATAATGAATTTTGAAGTGATCTATAAACAAGAAAGGAAACAGATATACCCTAATTGTCATCTCATACCACAAACCTGCCTCAAATAAATGATACAAATTCCATACACTTTTCCACACTGGACTTAATCAATAAACTAAATCGTAGACCAGAGTCTTAAACTAAAAATAAAATTATTATACTTAATTCTTTTCCTCGAAGATCTTCCATACTTCATCCCTTTACTTTCGGTGGTTGACCAGTGGCGTGCTCGGACCAACAGCAGCTCCATCTGCTTCAACAGCCTCCGATCCTGGAGGAGCGTACTGTCAGCAACCACTTCGTAAGATGGCGCTGGAAATCTCGTTCGATTCTATCCATTTTGCAACCTGAGAAAAAAAAAGTATAAAAAAAATGAAACAAAACTAGATCCAGAGAGAAAGAGATTCTAAGAAAGGATCTTTACCTCCAATGGCATCGCCGGCTTATATTTTTCATTGATGATGATTGATCCGTTGCTTTGGGCCAAACTTTTGTTATCTAAAGAAACTAGGCCAGCTTCCAAATCAGTGCTGCTCAAGTTGACGCTTTTTTCGACAGTGATACTGCCCTGCTTGGTAGTTCTTAAAAAAAAACAAAATTTTCATCAATCTTATACGTAATAGTTAAATATTTCTATACTTATTCAAAGAGTCATTTAATCATAAGAATTAAAATTTAAGTTTTTTTTTTAAATTCTGGCAATTGCCTATATATTCTATATATATAAAAATAAGTCAAGTTTTCCTTCCTGACGAAATAACTCCAGAACGCACGAACCGATTTCGACAATTTTGCATTCGTTGGAAAGGTCTCGGGCTCCGCAAGGTTTATAGTTAAGAAAATTAGTGGTGCATGGCATCGTGCTCTAATGGAAATTGCTGGAACTTCACGCACCGTAATTAAAAATTCGAGTAATTACATTAGTGAGAATTATCAGAATTATGCTTGGTTAAGTCAACGAGCAATTCTTGCCGCAAAGAATAATGATGTACACGCACTGAATTTCACCATTCAATCAAAAATTGCTGGCGATTTGGTGACATACCAATGATTCCGACTGGTCTTCCGTTTGACTTCAAACGATTGCAATTTCCAGTTCGCCTTGCGTTCGCAATAACAAGTCGCAAGGCCAATCGCTTAGTGTTTGCGGGATAAATTTTAAATAGATTATTTAGAAAATCATTGTTTTTCACATGGGCAGTTATACGTTGCCTGTTCACGAGTTGGAAAACCATCTGCTTTCTATGTGTTAACGTCAGACCAAAAAACAAAAAATGTGGTTTACCAAAGAGCACTTCAATAAAACGGATAATTTGCGGATTCACTTTCATTTACTTAGAGAAGTTCAACTAAGAACACTTCATTTTTGTAATCGAAATAAATTCATTACTGTTGTATAATAAAATCACATTTTTCCTTTTCAAATATAAAACAAACAAAAAATTTCTTCATCTTTCTCACGAAACCATCAGGTGGCGAAACGGAATTCGTCGTGTTTGCTATAGTTAGTATATAAATATTTCTTACTCATTATTGGGTATTTTTGGAGCCGGTGCCAAAGGATTCTCCAAAAGTCGTCCTATGGCATCACGAGCATCACAAGATATCAGCCTTTGTCTGCAAATGGCAATTGCCAAAATAAACTGATCAGAACAACTGATGAAACGGTGTTCCATGAAAATGCTTTTGTCGTCCCAGTAGACAATCTGGAAAAAAATAGATCAAATAGATACCTTTTTAATAATCTAAATAGAAATTGATTTATTAGTTGATAGAGCAACTTCTGATTGAATTGTTACATAAAAGATAGACTGATAGAGAAACTGATGATTACTGGATCTAAATAACCTGATATACAAAAGGCATTTTTAGGGAGTAATTTTTAGATCTGTGTTAGTTGATTTATATTTTTTTTTATTATTTGCCTTAGATGTAATCCTGTATTTAGAGAAAGGCCTGATGAATCTCCTATAACGTATAGTACTTGCTCCTTGGACCACAGCTCCTCCATTCTGGATTATGGAACGATATAATCCAGTTCTTTCGTAAAAGTCCACTCTTGCAAAATCAATTTCCTGGAAGTAATAGATAATGGATAGATTAAATAGATAATTATAAAGTAGAATTATTATTTCGAATTAGATTGAATCGGATTTTGGATCTCTATCTACTTGGGATTTGAGGGAATATATTTGATTTAATAGTCAATGTCTATTTTGGAACCAAAGGGTGGAAATGGAAACATTTGGAAAATTTTAAGTCAAAATATTAATATCACCATGTCTAACATTTTAGAGAAATTAAAAGTCATATTGTTTTTCTTCTCAATTTTTCTAATTTCTTAGTGGTGAATCTTGTTCTGTTAATAATTTTATAAATTGTTAACATTCGTTTGTATCTCTATCTATTTAGAATGTGACAGGATCTATTTGATTTAATAGTCAATGTCCATTTTAGAACCAAAAATTTGAAACAGATTTAATAAAAAATAGTTAAAATTATAATAATAATTTGTGTATAAATATTGCATTATTTTATTAAATAATAAATTAGGGTTTGTACCATTTTCTAAGTTTGTTGACAAAAATATTGTTCTAGTACAGCCAAAAGCTTTGAATAAATATCCCAAAAATATTTCAATTATTATATGAGCTATATTTCAATTATTTAAAAATATAATAAAAATATTATTAATTATCTTATTAATATTTTTTAATATTTAAATAAAACTTACCCTGAGGTACCTTGCATTATTCATGTGGTACAAAAGAGTGTCTATGTCAGTGGTCAAACAAATACCTAGAAATGGAATTTTTTTTATTATTTTCATATTTTATCAAGATATTACTAATTGATATATTATTACTAATGGCAACTTGTATCATGCATTGATAAGGCATTTTGTAATCAATTCATTCTTTTTTTTATTTATAAAGATTTTTCATATGTATGAAAAATTCATATTGTTTATGCAAAATATAATATTTCTACACTTATAAAAAATTAACAAAAAAGTTAAAACAGTTGTCATCAGAATTCGATACTTAAACATTTGAAATGCGATTAATATTGAATAGTATTAAAAAAGAATAAAAATAAAATAAATAACAAGTTATTGACTATGAATAATAGAATAAATATGTCGAATACAAAATATAACAGATTTCACAAAGTCTTTCGTGTCTAAATTTTAATTGTTTTTAAATTCTTTTCGTTAATTCAAAAATGGTTTAAATTTAATTTTAAGTGTGTCATATTATGACTAATACCATAATGCAATCTATTCATCTAATATATTTTATATGAGTTGCAAAGAAAATATTTCAAAACTGTACATTCAATATATTTAACTTATATAGCTGCTAATGCTAATAACACATATTTATTTAATAATATCTTCTAATATTTATTAGCTTTAATTTCGGAAAATTGTCCAATGTTATATATATATATATATATATATATATATATATATATGATGAAAATAAGAATCCATAATAGTGTCGTATTATATATCAAAGTTGCAATGTACAATTAGTTTTTCTAAGGTTTCAATAAATTGCAATATAGCAACTACAAGAAATCTCACACATAATGAAAAAATATTAGAAATCTTACAAAATCTCCAATATAATATAATAGTATAATATGTCACAAACAACATGTTTAATTTGCTCAACATATTTCTTAAATTTTAAAAAATATTAGTTTTTAGTTCGCTATTTTAAATTTGCCAAGTTATTTGTCTCAAATTATTTTATTATTTTATTGATATACTTTGCATTATTTTATATTAAAATTTGTGTATGGTATTTTTAAATTGCAACTATTTCTATCTCAAATTTTGATATATTTTTCATTATTTTATATTAAATTTTGTGTATAGAATGATATTTTTCTTCATATTAATATCAAAAATAATTAAAATACTATGTACTAATAATTAAAAGAAAAACATACCTATTGATTATTCGTTTCGACATATGATGCGTGTCATCATTCAGTCAATCGAACTAGGACAGAAACAAATAAAAATCTTATTAAGTTCTAATTTAGTAGAAAATGGTTAATAATTAAAGTCCTGGTTCGATAGGCTGAATAATGACGCACATCAAAGGTCGAAACGTATAATCAATTTGGACTTTTTTATTTAAACGAATTAAATGAATAGCTTGCAAATGTATATTTATGTATCTTTAAGATGATCTTATTCATAATGTTGACGCAAGTCTGACTAATATTTCCATACTTTGTTTATGTAAGTCTCAGATTTTAGATGATAATACAAAATTGAAAAATCAATTGTGACGAAAGTGTGTCAATTCCTATATAGAATCGATCATTTCATCATTTTTCATTTAATCTGAGTAATTTTCTTTCTCGGTGTTTAATTACTTAGTTTTACCTTCGACAACATCATTATTTTACCAAAATTTTGAGGTCATGCCCCGCCTTATCGTTTATATATTTTTGGACCCTGTACATAAATTTTAACCTGTAGAATTAGCTTTATTTTTTTAAGTAATGTAAATGATAAATTTTAGAAAGAATCACTTTGAAATTATTTTTAAAAATACATAAGTATTTAAAAGCAAAAAAACAAAAAAATAAAAAAAGCGTAATGAGGAAAATAATATGTCTTTTATCACCAATATCTAGTTCTCTATTTTTAACTTCCCGATGAAGAAGTTTAAGTTTTAATCAAGGAATTTGATTCGCTAATTTTATGTTTTTTCGATAATGAGATCAAATTTGATGTGTGTGTGTGTGTGTGTGAACAGATTTTGTGCCGTAAATCGTCGTTTTTTCCAAAAACGGCTGGACCGATTTCAGAAAAGCCATTTGATGTATCTCAATGTGGACTATCGTTTATTAGTTTTATGAGACGATCTGCTGAGCCGTTTCTTTGTAATTTGGAAAAAAGTGTGAAACATTTCGTCCTCATTTAAGCTCGTACTACCGAATCGATTTTAAAAAATCAAGAACTGTTCGAAAGATATTAGTTGCGAATGATACTGATTAGTTTTAGGTAAAAGTCTACCGATCCGTTTTCTTGAAATGAACTTTTAAGAAACCAGTTTTCATAATTATTGTCCTCTTACCTGTGACTGTCGTCGTATCTAATATATGACACTTCTTCCTGCAGTATCTGGCGTAGACGACGCACAGGAACATCCTCAAGAAGTAGTGCAACTCCAGGAGGACATACATCAGCAGGATGCCCCCGAAGACGGACACCAGGACGATACACCAGTTCATGGTCAGACTTTTAAATTTATCTATTTACTTATTTATTAATTTATTGGGCTTGTTGGGAGACGGATTGACGTCCTGTAAAAGAAATAAGAATATAAAAAACCTTGTGTATGAATCTAAAAAAATACTATGGCTCAGAGACATGCTCTAAGTATGGTATGGCATTTCATAAAAGATTTTGAAGGAAGAAAGGATTCTTCTTATAATATTTATATAAATATCGGGGTGGTCCTAAATATGTATATTTTCGAATTTCTTTTTTCCCAAGGACTCAAAGGCTTCCAAATTGATAAAAAAAATTGTGGTGCATGGCATCGTGCTTTAAGGCAAATTGCTTAAAGTTCCCGTACCAGAATTAAATATTCGAGAAAAAAACAGTAATCTATAAATATTGATCAATGATTAATAACAATCGTTTTAAACATTTTCAAATAGATAATTATAATCACTATATATTTTGTCGTTCATAAAATATACAGTGAGGATCTTATCGCTCAAATCACTTAAGAAAGTTTACATTAGCAAGAGGTGCCGAATAAATTCATCTGAGGATATATTTCTTACGATTAGAATAACGCATTTGAAATATATACATTTTCAAACCGAATTGTAAATATAAAATTTATTCTTGAAGTATAAAACTTTGTATATTTTCGAAAATTTTTGAAAAAAATAATTCTGAGAATTTTTAAGTAAACTTTAAAAATTAACAATCTTGGTACTGAACCTAACAAAATTGTAACAAAATTAATACTCATTTTTTTAAATTTGATCAAATATCTAATAATTTGATGTGCATATGTCTAATTTTTGACCGCCAAATATTAACTTTTTTTTTTCATTTTTTATTCTGTATCTCCGAAACTGCCTTAGTCCTGCCTTACCAAAAATTTTATCAATTCTTCATTTTGTCAATACAAGTAACACGTTTTTTGAATCTTTCAAATCGGGTACCTCGTTCTCTCAAAAACTGAATTATCGTTTTAGGCACTTTTTGCCGCGAATCTTCGGAACGGCTAGATCTGCCTTTGCCAAAAACTAATCAGCACATCTCCCTATCAATAGGAATCGAATGTTTTTTGAATCATTTGAATCAATCAATTGTATCCAAACATACACACTCACACACATACATCCATTTTTTAATGGTATGCTAAAATGTTCAGAAGCCTTTAAAACGTAAATATATAAAAATAATTCATTTTCGATTTTTTGCGATTACTATAACTTATCCTACGGGAAGTTAATAATCTCTGAAAATTTTAGATCTTAATATTAACTTCAAGATAGTCCATACACCAACTAAAGTTTCTTGGTTTTTCCTCCAAAGTAAAAACTAATTTTATATAATATAGCAATTTTTTGTTGTAATTTTTTTATTGATGATTAAAATAAGCAAATACAATGTTATTGGCAAAATTTTGATTCACTTATCGTTAAGTTATAAAATCCTAAAAAACAAATAAAATTTTACGCATGTTATTTCTATAAGAAACTTTGGTTGGAGTGCGAACTATTTTAAAGTTAATATTAAGAGCTAAAACTTTCAGAGAATTTTTTAATCAATTTGGAAGCATATGAGCCCCTGGGATCAAGAAAATTCGAAAATATCCATATTGAGTACCACCCTAATAAATATATATATACATGTATAAATTTCCCTCTGACCTTGAATTTTCCGGAAGATTTTCCAATATGTCGGCTTCTACACCATAGCATCACACACAACACTTTACATTCGCTTTAAATACATACAATTTTCATACAGATCGATACAGAACCACTCACTCTAATTAAGCAATTAATTTAAATTTAATTACAAACATCTAATTTTGATTGATGGAATCATATTTCATCCGATTCGAACTTTTATTCCGATTCGATTGTGTCCGTTTGACAGATGACAGCTAACTGACTGACTGGGGCAGTCAGAATCAGCTGTGCCGGCGATTTTCGGTCATACATATATATTTCGTAAGGTTTCTGAAAGCATTGAAGGTCGTGGTAAAAGTATACTATAGAAGTAATACTCTTTCAACTTCAACTTCAATTTATCAATTACTTAGTAAGTTAAAGTCAACATATCTATGATGTGATAGCTGGTACATCCTCGCTATCCTCATATTGTTCAATAATTAACTTCCCGAAGGAGAAGTTTATATTTTCATAAAAAAATCCGATTTGGTACTTTTATGATTTCTAGACGTTTCAAGCCATTCTGAATCGAATGAGACCAAATTTGGAAAAAGTATGTGTGGGTTTTGGAGCGATTTCAAAAATTTAAAAGCCATTCGATGTATTTCGATGAGGACTACAGTTTATAAATTTTGCGCGAAGATCAGCCAAACCGTTTCTTTGTAAATAGGAAAAAAAGACAAAAAATTCGTCCACGTTTTAGCCCACAATTCTGACTCGATTTTGAAAATTCAAAAACCGTTCGAAAAATATTGGTTGGAAATTGTGCTGATTAGTTTTTGGTAAAGATCGGCCAGGCCCTTTTCTTGTAACAAAGTGTTAAATTTTTTTTCTGATTTCTTTGTTTTTTTTTACGGCAGATATAATAGTCTTATAGCTCATACCAAAATATTATTTTTACTACAAGTCGTTTAATTTAAAGAATTCTTCAAAGTTTGCAAAAAGTAGTATCTTTTTGGCATTTGTCAAAATTAGACATGTCAACGACGTTTGCTCAAAAACGCCTGAACCGATTTCAGAAATTTAAAATCTATATGATGTATTTCAGTGAGGGCTATCGTTTGTCAGTTTTGTGCGACGATCTGCCGAGCCGTTTCTCTGTAATTTGGAAAAAAAGTGTTAAACTTTTCGTCCACATTTAGGCTCATACTACCAAATAGATTTTAAAAAATCGAAAACTGTTCGAAAGACACTAGTAGGGAATAATACTGATTAGTTTTAGGTGAAAATCTACCGAGCCGTTTTCATATAATTAACTGTTGAAAAAAAAATTTAAGCCGATTTTTATGGAACTTTTTTTGACGATATACATCAAGGTCTTATAGAACTTACTGAAATATTATGGTCTTTACGACAAGAAGTTTAATTTTAAAAATTCAACATTGTTTGTGAAAATAGGTAGTTGGTATAACGATAGAGTATTGGTGTTAATTAACATACTAAACCATTAAAGTCCTACGGAAACTGGTTCAATTATAAAAATTATGGATTTGTGAAAATTTCCTTTTAGAAAATACTCTGAGTTAACGTCTTCGTTCGTTTTCAATGATGTGTAATAAATCCACTCGGAACACTTTTAATAACTCATAAATTAATTAATTTTTTTTATTGATTAAGTCGATTATTTACATATATCGGGAAGTTCATGTAATAGCCTCAAGGCAAAATACCAATATCAACTAGTTGATAAATATTTTTACTGATCGATTTAGTTTTTTCAGACCTTTTCTCGGCAACAACTGCTCTTCGGAGTTAGTAGTCTTATAGTGGGGAAAGCCCCGGACTACGCATGCGTCCGGCAATGGCGCTTTTCTCGGAAAATTCATCATCGATTCGATATTTGTTTCATTGAAAATGTCTTAATGTAAATAGGCAATATTGAGAATAAATTGGTGCGATGGGAGTAAATTTGAAGGGGAAATATATATGGATAGGAGATCGATTTGAGGAATTGACAAATTGCAGGTGGTTACAGATGCCGGTTAAGAACGCGTTCACATTGCTATTCGGTGGATTCTTTCGAAATTGATAGTTGGAGCGGAATTATTCATATAGGAATTATTCTTTTTTTTCTTTCGGTTACCACACCAATTGACACATAGGGTCTGCATTTTTTTTTAAATGCGGTACAGCAAACTACTGAATATTTTCTCAAATTTCTTGTTTTAATTGAAAGTACAATTCTTTCGGTTAATAATAGAAAATTATTTTATTCAAATAGCTGCCTTTGAAATGCTTTGAAAGATTATTATTAAATGAGACAAGATATGCTATTTTAGAGCCCCAACATTATGAGACATCCAACCTTTTTGATAAATCTAAAACTTGCTTTTGTTCAAGAGAGATAGTTGTCTCAATTTTTAAAATAAATAGATTGCAAATAATTCAATCAATAATTTGACTTTTTAACTTCCCGTAGTGTAAGTTTGAAAATGAACATTTTTATATATTTTTACGTTTCAGTGTTTCTGAACATTTTGGCATACCTTAGAAAACATTGATGTATATATATATATATATATATATATATATATATATATAAATCTGTTTGTGTGTGTACGGATACAAATTTTCGTCGACGATTTCGGGAACTTCAAAACTTAAAAATTCATTTATTTTCAAAAAAAGTATATTTTTTAAATTAGTTCATTTCAAAGTTAATTTTTTTTCAAATTTCAAATTCTCTAAAATCAAATATTTTCGAAGTTAAAAAAAAATTAAGTGCAACTTTCTAATGTTTTATTGATAACATATACGTGAAGTTAGATTTTAAGTTTAAAGCAAATACATAACTTATTGACAATTTGTGACCGCCAACTCATGCGATTATAGACCCTTAACAAAACATTTCCATTTCATCACATAATTGACCCCTAACAGAATTATTTCAAAACTTGTTTCGTTTATCGCCAGTTTTTCAAAACTTCATAAATCGAGTTATCGAAGACTTCACCCAAGAGAGATTGTTCGTGCACATTCAAATAGATGCCACCACTTTTATATTTACCTTGGATGAACGTTTATCAACCCGTTTTTAGTATCACTGTAACACTATAACATTTTTTAAAAAATTCTACACAAGTCCCATTTAAATAACTCTAAAAAAATCCTACCCATATATTAATTTTAACCCTGCAATTTTGAGAAATTTTGATTCACTTAGATCATAATATTAGAATTTACTTATTTAGATTATAAAAAAATACAACAAAAATTTCATCGAGAATGTATCGAGATTGTACGAGATTGTACGAGATTGTACGAGATTAATCGAGATTCGTCGAGATTGTACGAGATTTATCGATGTTCATCGAGATTTATCGATATTCATCGAGATTCGTCGAGATTGTACGAGATTCATCGAGATTCATTGAGATTCGAACTATATTCATCGAGATTGTGCGAGGTTCCTGATGATTCTCGATGAATCTCGTACAATCTCGACGAATCTCGATGAATCTCGATAAATTTCGATAAAACTCAATGAATCTTGTACAATCTCGATGAATCTCGTACAACCTCGTTCGAATCTCGATGAATCTCGTTAGGATCTCGATATATTTTATTCGTATCTCGTACAATCTCGTTGAATCTCGTACAATCTCGATAAATCTCTATAGATCGATCTACGAGATTCATCGAGATTGTATCGAGATTTATACACAATCTCGATGTATATCGTACAATCTCGTTTGAATCAAAAGAAACTTTGGTTGGAGTGTGGACTATTTTAAAGTTAATATTAAGAGCTAAAACTTTCAGAGAATATTTTTTTATTAATTTGGAAGCATTTAAGCCCCTGGAAGTGAAAAAAATCGTAAATATCCATACTAAGGACCACCCTAATGCCTGACACATGCGATTTGTTGAAGGAGAAAAAGTTTTAATGCAGTGCCATGTCAGTCATATAAGTGCTTTACATTTTATATGTTTGAAAGATATCAATTGGAAATCGTATTGACTATTTTGCAGTTTGATTGATTACATTATTTTCAAAATAACAGTTGAACATTTTACCTAAATATCTGATTGTGATCTGATTTTTTATTAATTAAGTTGATTATCGGAAGTTCACTCCTTAAGAAAAAATGTTACTTACAATCCAGAATTTTCATTTAATCCGCAAGTAGTGTCTGCCTTTTTTTGCTTGATGGAAGTGGTGAAGAAGAGATAGAGAATTCGTTTCTGAAGTTAAATGAGTTCTTTAATTAAATTCTAAGTCTGTTCGTATGTATTTATAATAATAGTACTTCTCATATAGTAGGTACGTACCCTTTCTGTACGCGTCGCAATGTTATTTTTAATGTCTAGAAAATTCTCAGACTGAACTATTAATTCTCCAACATCCAACATCTCTCCTTCATACTTTTCATTTTGCAGATTGAGATACCCATTTCATTTATGAATGAGGAAAATAATCATGGGGGACTAATTTCAATTTTACGTCGAAAATAATATAAAAATCAGTTTTTTTGCTACTTGTATGGCTTTTCCGTAATTCCAGATTTAATTCTCTCCTCGGACAGCCTCATGTCAAGCGGTAATAGCATCAATGAAAATCATCGGTACTACATAAATCGTAATAATATTTTCATAGAATTTAAATGTTGGTCCAGTTAATCAAGTTTTATCATGTCCACCATTACAAAACCTGATCTGATTTTAAGTATGTTTTTAAAAAAGGAGCAGATGCTGCACGTTCTAATACTTATAAATTCTTTCGTTTTCCTATATATGCAAAATTAGTTTCGGATATTTGTAACTGACCGTTTAGAAATTTCTCATTTACAAGTGATTGATTTATTGCTAATTATTTGGCGTGGTTAAATTCTCAAACAAAGGAACTTTTAAACAAATCTTTGTTTTGATCATAAACTGCACAAGGATAATTGTATAAGAAAATGTGAAATGTTTATATTGGAATAATGAAATATTATGTTTGATTTATTTAGTCTTGGCAAATGTTAAAATGTGTGAGTTTTCTACCAAGGTATTTCTTATAATTCAAACACTTTTACGAACACAAGAAGACCTGGTTCGTGCTTTTCTTAATGATAATATAAAAAAAATCACATATTTATTAGATAACTTAGTTAAAAAT